GGGACGCGGAGGGGCCGCTGAGAGACGGGCGGGGACGCGGAGGGGCCCTCGGGGATTGGGCAGACGGGCCGTGGAGGGGCGGGCGGGGTCTCAGAGGGGTCGGAGCCGGGTGCGGGGTCGAACCTGCGGCGGGTTGGGACCCGGATACCCGACACTGTCAGTGGAGCAGGTGGGAAGAGGAAGGGAGGCCATCTTCTGGGTACGTGGTACTGTCCGTGCGTCCCCGTGAGATGTGTCTCCCGTATCACGTCCTCTTTACAGCAGGAGAAGCGGAGGCTCACAGCTGCTGGCGGGGGCACGACTGGAAGCCAGTTTAACCTAAACGCTGGGGTGCTGCATCACAGACCTCTTAACGGATGGTTTCCGAGACCTAGGCTGTCCCAGGCCCTTCCCTAGGCCTCGGGGAGGCTCGCCCCAGAGCCCCTGAGCTTTGGTTGTTCATTGCAGAATTGCCTGGCAAAGGTGTTACCAAGGCCGTTGGCGCCCCAGGGTCTGTTAAAGCCCGGTTCGACGACCGTGAATAAATCCCCTCCTCCCTTACTGTCTGGGTAGCGTGGAAACAGCACAGTAAACAGGCGCCGATGGTTCAGTGGGATGGTGACGAAGACCTTTGGAGAAGCCAGGAGTGACCTCAGGGCTAGAGATGGGAGGAACGAGACCCGGGCTGACCTGTTGGGCAGTTACGGAACAGGGTTCATGCATTGCTCACATTAATATATGTCGCCTTTTATTATTCTAATTATTTCCCATGTTTTGGTAACTTCCCAAGGGCAAGAACCTGCCCTTTTATTCTCTCCCTCCGCTTGCGATTAGCCCACTGCTTTCTAAATGGGAGTCACTGGGATGTTTGTGATTTATTGACTGTGGAGTAAGGGCCCCAATGCCTACATCTCTTGTGTCCCACACAGCACTGTGCACAGTGTTGGGGATATCATTGGATGTCTGGGTTGTTAGTGAAAGTGATAAATACGGTAGCCTTTTAATAGTTGTGTCGATGTAATGGTTTCTGTTGGAAAAAACAAGCAGTGAGCGTGCTCTGGGTTCCTCAACGGGGGAGGGTCCTAAAGGAGGGACGTCTGTCTGTGACCCAGCACTCAGAATACTTTCTGGGGGAGGTGGCGTCTCAGCTAGGCCTGAAGGGACAGGAAGGGGAGAACCTGGGAGGGGAGGGGAGGGGAGGAGGTACAAAGGCCTGAAAAAGACAGGGGGACAGGTGTGTGGGGCTAGGGGCCGACATGGTTGGGCCACTTTTTGAATTCGATGTGAGAGTGACAGGAGATGAGGCTGAAGTGGCCGGCAGAGCTTTGCAACTCATTCCACACCCTGTGCCAGGGATCCTCGGGCCACTGGAACAGCATGGAGGGGAGACTTCCTGGAGGTGGTGCCGAAGCTGGGCCTTGAAGAGTGAGGGTTTGCCTGAGGGACAGGGAGTAGAACAGACTTTCCAGCAGAGACCAGCAAATGCAGAGCTCCCAGCAGGAAAGAGCAAGCCAAGTGCTGGAAACTGCCTGCATGGCCCTACCCAGGCCAGCAGTAGCGTAGCCTTGGCCTGCGTCCGTGGAGATGCGTGTACACTCGAGTCTGCATTCTTGATTTCTGCAGTGGTTCAGAAGCACAGCTGGGGTCAAGAGGCACCAGCAGTGTTGGCAGGAAGTCCAGGAGGCTCTGGGGCCTGGCTGTGAAGGGCCTGGCATGGCTGCGGTTCCAGGGGAGTCTGTGTCTAGCCTGTGGGCATAAGCAGTGGAAACCTTTGGCTCTGGCCCTGAACACCTTAAAACTACACGTAGGGGTTTAACAAATGGCTATAAAATGGGCAAGGGCTGTAAGGCATACATCAGTAACAAGGTTGGAAACCACCTGTTGCCCATCAGTCTTGAGTAAAATTTGACCTGCCCCCATCGTGGAAAACTGGGCAGCTGCAGAAAAGGATGAGGGTGCTTTTGTATACCGTATGGACCAGTCTGCAGGACAGTAAGTAAATAGCAGAGTTGAAAGCAGTGTATGTAGCTGCATGTATAGCACACCCTCTTAGGGAAAGAGGATGAGGGCAAGAATGGAGTGTCTCCAGGGAGAAGTCTGAGATGCCTGGGGAAGAATTCACTAGAACAGATAGGTGCACTGATTGCCTTGGGGGAAGGGACCCGGTACTCAGCAGACTGTGAGGAGACAGGCTCTTCATTATAGATGCCTTTGTATGTTTTAAAGCTCCATTTACAAAAGAATTAAGCTTTTACAATGTAATTGATTCACAAGAGTCAAAGCCACACAATTGCTCAATGTTTATGGCTAGAAGCCAGCTGCCAGCCACATCCCACCCCCCAGGGTGGTGGCTCCCAGCTCTCTGGGCTGCTCCCTTGTGTCACTTTTGAGCAGCCTCCACTCCAGCAGGGGAGACTGAGGACTTGAGAGGTTGAACCTGCCCCTGTTTCCTGCCTGGGTGATGAGAGGTGCCCCGTCACACCAAAGTGATTTGAAACAGACTTCTGTATGAGTGCAGGGATATCCTTTTGGACAAAGGAAAACAAAAATTCAGTGACTATCTTAAAATTGTTTATATGCATGTGCTGATTTTATTTTTTCCTGCTTAACTGGAAACTGCTTTTCGTGGTTCTCCATTCCAGGAGGGGCACGTGGTTGGTGTGGATTTTCTTAGGACTTTCCCAGTCACGTCCTTAAGGAATATTTGTTGCCTAAAAATCCATTACCAAAGCGAGGTCTGGAATAAAGAGTCCCACAATAAAGGGGGCTGTAGTTGGTAATCCAGAATAGTAGCTGGGTTACGAGTCACTTAGGTCTAAGAGAAGCGAACAGGACTTACAGCAGGAGTGAAGTAATCACAGCCGTCTCAAGACCGATAGACTGAGACTGAGATCACAGAGACTTAGCAGAACTGGCATCTCCGCGTGAGGGGTTAGGAATGCTTGGGTCCACGGCTGGGCTGGCTTTTGTTCTCCCGCCGCTACAGGTTCATAGAACTGGCTTAATTAACACTTGGGTTACGTTGCATTTACACTGTGTTTGGACTATAGCAGTTTATTGAGGTGGAAAAACTTACCACTGACCCTAGTTTTTCGACGTAGGGATCAGAAGCCCTAGGTTCTGTCTGGCGGGGCAGAGCTGGGGGTGCAGCGGGAGCGGGCGAGCGCTGGGCCCTGGGACTGCTGCGCTGTGGGCTTCCTGTCTGTGGGTTTATCAGTCACACCCTTTACTGCCATAGGTGTTTCCAAACAGGACATTCGTGAGCAGATTTGGGACTACATGGAGGCACGAAATCTAGCTGATTTCCCCCGGCCTGTTCATCACAGGATTCCCAACTTCAAGGTACTGAAGCATTCCTGGAGCATTCACAGTGAAAGCAGGATACCCCTAGATGAGTAACAGTGGTAATACAGTTACCTTCCTGCTTCACGGCGGATTTGAACTCGGTGAACAGTGAGTGGTGTGAAATCTGAACCAGCTGGCCGGGGTGTTTTTATGCTTTGAGATGTCCTTCATCATGTTACTTAACCTTCACTCTCGAGCACCTCGTGCCTTTCTGTGCAGGGTTGGTGGGTGGGTCGCATCTTGCCATGAGGAGGTGCTAAGGCTACTGTTCCCCGTTTGGTACAGAGTGAAATATTTCTCCTGGCTGGAAGCATTCGATGGTTGTGGTGCCTTTTCACACAGTTGGTTCCTAAGGAGTGACGTGCTCTGAGAGGGAGCCCCAGCCAGCGAGGCTGACTTCTCAGCCCTTTCTACCTGGCTGCTTCCTTAGACATTTCTCGGGTGACCCCAGACCTGGTCTCAGAATCGGCCCCCGCGCCTGTCTGGGGGAGATGCTGGAGCATCAGGCTGAGGGTGGCCCAGGGTGGTGGCCTCTTAGTAACGTGCACTTGCATTTAAAAACAGGGTGCTTCTCGGGCCGCTGAGCATTTCCCACGTTTGCAGGCGTTCAAAATGGCCAGAACCATTAAAGTCAACCCTGACGCACCCCAGAAAAATGCCCGCTTCTTCGTCCTCAACGTAAGTGCACCTCTGTCTATCTGCCTAACCAGGGCTCTTATCTGGCTTGCCAAAACATCAAAGACCTCGCGGTTTTTGCCAGAACGCAGGAGGTTAAAGTGGACCCTGATAAACCGCTGGAAGGCGTCCGGCTGCTGGCGCTGCAGGTAATCCCATTCCCTGAGCCTGAGCCCTGGCTACTGAGCGGCCCACCTTCCCCAGGGGAAGTGCACAGTCCCACATTTGGAAAGATGGTGCTTCTGACTCCCTCCAGTGCAGAATGTGTCCTTGGAGTTGTTTTTTCCAGGACAGTCCAGAGCTCTTCCCTTGTCTGTCGGTCTAGAAGTCCTGAACATCTCTGAATTAAAAGAGAAAAGACTTTGAAACCCTGACTTTGAGGCATCCCAATTCTAATGTACCTCTCCAGAAGTGAACGATTACAATGTATTTCACCTGCTACATTTGTAATACTATAATTCTTCAAAACTTGATAACCCATGAGTAAGAGATCTGAGAAATGAGTCCCCAAAATATATGAATTAGAACAGTGTTTCTTAACGTAGATATAATAGGCCTCTTTTCAAGAGGAAAAATTCCCCCAGGGTTGCTTCAATTTATTATAATTTAATAAGTATAAACATAAAACTTGCTATAAATTATAAGGCTCAGGATCTTATGTGACTGTAAAACCAAAGTAAACATGTAAATTACATATAAACCAAACTATAAAAGCAGTAAAATTCAGATAACATCACTCATTTAAAGTAATGGATGATGTTGTTTTGCCGAAACAAAACACCGTTTACAGTGAGTATAGTGCTGCGTGTGGCAGTGCGGGGTCTGTGGGATTCTGCTGTATGCCACCAGGCCTTGGGTGGTGACTCAGTTTCCCTACAACTCCTGAGAATCCTCGCTCTGCGGGCGCCTTTCATCCTGTGTGGGAAAGTGCATACCTCGGCAGGCAGGGGCAGCGTGATGCCTACGGCCGCAGATCACACCTGGGGGCACAGCTTCCCAGGCTTGACCCCAGACCTTCATTCGGTTCTAGAACCTGTTCATAGTAAACGCCCTGATGGAGCTTTGAGATCCCTGGGCCTGAGCACACTGGCTGTAAGTCAGCACCCCTGAGGAGCTCTGGAGACTCTTGCCAGTGTCCGCTTCTGAGTCAGGCTCGAGTGGAACTGTACTTTGCTGAGGCTCAGAGCTCCCCGGGGCACTCTGGTGTACAGCGAGGGGTGATCAGAGTAGTGTGCAGTATACCAGGATCTGGAGACTGCAAATAAAACCACCACCTCTGTCACACTCAAAAGGAGAGCAGCACGTACTCGTTACTTTTGCTGAAATACTCTTCTCGGGGTTGAAAACCTTTTTTTAATAAGCCAGACTGTGTTTTTATAGGTCTTTTGTTGGTCTCAGGCTGTCATCTCCTGCACAAAAAGTAAAACGTGATTTTTTACATGAAGGAGTTTATAAATTTTATGATTGCCTCATGGCCCACCCCTGAATACTCTGCAGCGCTGTCCTTGGGCCTTGTTTCTCCAACTTTCTTGCGTGTCAGGATTACCGGCTGGGCTTGTTAAAGCAGGTTGCTGGGCCCCACAGGGCTTCTGATCACTTCTGACAGGTGTCCAGGGGCTGCTGATGCTGCTGGCCAGGGGCCCCCACTTTGAAAACCCCTGCCCTGGGGCTCGCAGTAGGTATTTGAGAACTAAATAGAAGAAGACGGTTATCAACACAGGTCAATATAAAATACTAATTGTAATGAGCACTGATCTCTCAGACTGTGATTGATTGAGCAGCAAACTAGATACAAGTGCTTGACGGGGTAACGTTTTTAATGTGGCTGTGTAATGCCAGCTTCAAGATAAAACATCCCTGTACCTGGATAGTGCTTAATGCTGGGAGCAGAAGGCCCAGGAAGGTCGTCAGGATTTGCATGGTCATTTTCACCTGTAAGCATTGTGAGTGGCAAGTAGAGTTGAGTCAGCGAGTTTTACAAACCCCCTGCCCCTTTATTCTGAGGCGGGGTAGTGCAGCTGCTCTACTGGGCCCCCTGCATCATTCACTCGGGTTTGCAAAACAACTCATCTCCTTGGCACACACCCCAAAATGCAGGTAATAGTAATTTGCTTCTGTTCCTGAAATGTTAAAAGTATACACAAGAAAGTTCCCATCTTAAATTTTGTAATTTATTGATTGTCTTTTCTTTTAAAAGAGCAAAAAAACATTGTTGGTTCCAACACCACGACTGAGAACGGGGTTGTTTAATAAGATCACACCACCCCCCGGGGCAACTAAAGACATCTTGAGAAAATGTGCCACCTCTCAGGTAAGTGTGAAAAGCAACACCGGCCACAGGGAAGAGCCGTTCTCAGCCGTGGCTTCTGGTGAGTTAGAACAGTGTAAATGCGCCAGAGCTGAAATCTGTGTTTAGCAAAGCCAAATGAAGAGTGATGTTAAGTGTTCAGCAATCTCGTCATTACAGGAGCCAAGCAGAAAAACTGCCTGTAACTCGGTTTTTCTCTTGCACTAAGCTGAGAAATAGTAAATTCCCCCGTTAATTAAGAAAAGGGAAAGCCAGTTTTCCAGTACTCTGACGCCCTCTGGTGTTAACTTCTGATGCTGTTCAGTGCCCTGTAGTATTTTCTCAGATGCCACCAGAGCAAATGGGGACACGGGGTAGAATTTCCAAAATATGTGCAATTGGAAATTGCCTCAGCAAGTGCTAAAGTAATAATGGCTTTAGTGATTTAGCAGTATGATTTTCTTCACTACCTCACGATGCCATAAAACCAGTGTGTAAATGTCACATTAGACTGCCTTATAATGGAATTTGTCTAGTATTTTAGAGATGAAGAAATAGAATCTGGTGACTTTTCAGAGTTCTAGAGTTGACCCCAGGTCATTTGATTCCTAATCCGGTGGGAAGAAGAAATAGGGCATCAAGATATTCCTTTTAAAAAGGGATTTTCCACTTAAGTCTAGTGTATAAAAAGTGAATGCTTTATCGTTATTTATTGATAACCTGTCTTATTGCAAAAACAGAATTTGATGTGGCATACAAAAATATATATAATAAAGTAACATAATAAAATACATGTAGGAAAAAGAACAAAGGGAAAATAAATGCAGAAAAATAAGAGATAACCCTGGTTCTGGTCAATGTTCAAAGTGCCCACCCCGTGATCCTTTGCAGTTGGCGGTTGTGGCCACAGATCTGAGCCCATACTTCCGCGAGCTGGCAGGGAATGTGATCTGTTATAATTGGTAGGTTCCGGACAGTAAGAGCAGCCCCTTTCCACGTATTGAGGTCCGGGTCAGACATGGCCGTGGTGCTGGTGTAGTGGTCTGTGTCACCCTTAACAGCATCCCACTCCCCTCCGAAGGGTGACCGACATGGGGCTCGTTGCCAGGAGGCCCTGTGAGGTGCCGGCACTGGCTGGTCCCGGCCAGGGTAAAGCCAGACCAGCTCTCACAACTGAGCTTGCGCACAGATTGAACTGTGTTTGGGCTCTGTCATATCATGAGATACCGGATGGAAATCAGAGATCCAGGGCCATGAACCTCAGAATGACAGAGCGCGGGTAGAAAAAACCAAAGATTTTTGTTTTCTTTGTGGCAGAGGAAAAATGGCAAAGGAGAGAGAGAGACTCTTAAAACCACGTCTAACGCAGATGCAAATTTAGTACGATTATTATTTAGGTTGCCAAAGCTTAGTGGTGAAATGCCGCCACCGTGCGTGTCACTGTAGGAGACTGTGATGTAGGCTTACTTCATGGCAGATAAAACTCTGAGTCTGTCCCTCAGCCCCCTGCCACGGCCACACCCCAGCCACCTGTGTGTGCCATCGTGGTCTTTGTATTTACTCTGACTCAGGAGTGTTCTGGTAACCACCCCAGGGGGCAGGCAGAAGGGTCTGTTAACTGCCTCATAAGTCCCTCTGCCCATCCGGTGACTCTTGGTTGAATAGAACAGGATCTTGGAGAGTCGGGGTGACTCCTGGTTGCTCACGCTGGGTCTGGTCAGACTGAGCAGGTGAGGCTGAGCCCCCGAGAGAAGAGGGGGCCTGACAGGTTACAACACAGAAAACCCCAGGCAGGTGCGTGCTCCCCAAGGCTGCCAGGCACCAAGCGCCCCGAAACAGGCTTGAGGACATGGGCCGTGGGCAAGAGACCTGCCTGCGTGGCCGCTGTGAGCTTAACGAAGGACACGCTTTCCTGCAGTGGGCACTGCGGGCCGATGACTGCGGTTTGATGGCTGGGAGGCCCCAATCATGGTACCGGTCCTATAGGGACTTGTCACGTGCTTGTCGACTGGGCACCGTACCACATCCAGCGACCGCTGCTGCCGGGTGCTGGGCCGTGCAGCACCCTCCTCTGGTTTCCGAGATTCCCCTGTCGCCCGTTATCAGAGTCATGGCCACAGGAGCCTCCCTGTGCTTTGCACCAGGCCGCCATTAGTCAGCATAAGTGGGTGTGCTTTGGGTGCTCTTTGGTTGAATAATTAATATGTTAGGAGTGACCAGCTGTTCACGCAGAGCGAGGCCTCCAGCGTTTCACAGTGAACTAATATGTCACACGCGCTTAATGGCCATGTCTTACATGCTAGACGCTTTACCTGCGCTCTGTCATTTCATTCCAACGTGTTGGACGAGGCAGGGCTGGTGTCCCTGTCTTACAGAGGAAGAGGCTGAAGCTCAGAGAGTTTCCTCCTGCTGAGGCCACAGCGGAGAGGGACCTGGACCCGGTTTCTTGTGACTCCCGAGCCTGTATTCTAATCACTGGGCTCTCCTGCCTCTTGGAGGAAAATGATTTGTTGAACATTATGAAATGAATATCCTAGTCATTGTGCTGTCAGTTCCTCCTGATGTCTTTCCTGGGGAAGAATTGTGGGGAATTGTCTTAAAATGGTTCTGATCCATGGTTTTCCTGAGCTGCTGCTTCCGTGATGCTGCGTGTTTGCTGTGGGGTGGTGCACGTGCTTGCTTCCCTCGGGAGGCTGTTCAGACCCTGAGTGCATCTCCCCGCGGGTTATGAGACGGGTGGCCTCTCTGCCAGGGAGCTTTCAGGCCATGTGTCTGTCCGCAGGGTGTGAGGAACTACAGCACTCCCGTGGGCTTGGATTCCAGGGTCCTTGTGGACTTAGTGGTCGTGGGGTCCGTGGCTGTTTCTGAAAAAGGTAAGATTAAGAACAGAAACTCTCGGATGTGACCACTTACCCTGCAGCCTGCTGTTCCCCCAGCGCTCCGGTCGCCTTTCAGACGTTGATGGTGAGTGATTTCAGCTTTCTGGACGCGTGCCTGGCGTGCATAACCACTGCGTCTGTCACTCATTTTGAAGAATTAACTCGGTCCCTCCCACTCTCAGTCCCACTCAACACCTTTACAGCATTTTCACTTTTCATAACAGGAAAAATAAAGTGAGATAATCTCTCTTCAGGTGGTGAAAGATTTCCCCTCTGTTCTTAAGTTAACTGGAACTGGAGCTGAACTTATTTGCAGTGCGTCAGTAAATAGTTGTTTTTGGAGAGCCTCCAGTAAGTGGAGAAACGTTGGGTTCTGAAGCTCTTTTTTGTTGTGAAGCAGCAGCCTCCTGGACAGTGCGGGGTGTCCTGAGCCTGCCTCTGAGGCTTGGAGCTTCACCCCGCAAGCCTGTGAGCAGGGACAGGGTGGGTCACTATGCCAGCCTCTGCCCTGGGCTGAGCCGCCCTCAGGACTCATCTCTGGGGTTCCCTAGGGCCTCTTCCTCTCTGCCCTGCTCTGCCCCAGGCCCAGCTGGGTGCTGTTGGAAACGAGCTGCTGATTCTGCAGCAGGATGAGCACATTGCAGAGCTGCACTCGTGTGGTGTGATTGGGACCCCCACCCTCACCAGGAAAGCCTTCTCTCTCCTCCCTTCCCGCCAACAGAATGTCCTGAGATGCTCATCCTCAGATCTCCCTTTGGAAGTTAGTCGGCCAAAGCCAAGTTCTTCCTTCAGTAGAGGTTCCGAATAAACAGTTGGCGAGCAGTGCTCTAAATCATTCGTTCTGAACCCTGAGCGTCGTGTTTTAAATGTTGGCCTTTAATACCATCACCTTAAACTTACTCTTTTCCCAGCTCCTGCTCTGAGCTACTGTGTGAGATGCTTAGGAGTGACATGTTACAGGTCTTTATTCCTTGTTTGCCTTGTATTCACAGTTACAGATAGATGCTTTACCTGTGTCCTCAGGGACGGGTACACGTGAGCACACGTGTGCCCACTGTGTGCCACATGCCAGGCCGGCACTGAGTGGACTCTGCTGTGGGTCCTCAGTGGGTGGGTGGAGCAGACATGAGAGCTGAGCTACAATACGACGTGCTCAGTGCTGGAAACAGAAGCCGGGGTGGACGTAGGCGGGCTCAGAGGAGGGACTCGCCAGCTTGGAGCACGGTGACCTCAGAAGAGGCCTCAGGGTTGGCTCCTGCGTGCCAGGTGTGTTCGAGGCAGGCGGGGCAGGACGGGGAGAGGGAGTGCCGTGGTCACGTAGCACGGCCCTCTAGTGTCTGGGGCTGTCCTTCCAGAGACCAGAGGCCAGATGCCGGGAACTGGGCTGTACTCTTTTGGCAATGGGAAGTTAGCAACGATTTCTTCTTTTAAAAGGACGTCAGGAGTTTTCTTTTTAATTCAGGATGTATGAAAAAGAAAACAATGTTTTGTAACTGTCACTGTTTAGATAACCCCCTAATTAAAACAACAAAATCACCATGCATGTGTTTAAAAAAGGTGGATAGCACAGAAAGCGTTGCCTGGCCACTTTCCCTCTGCCTGTCCCCTGATGCCTACAGAAGTATCAGCTTGTGTGGTGTGAGATACAGGCATCTCGAGTGTTCTGTGTGTGGGCTGCACGTTCATCCTGGTTCTGTTTCCGCACTGACAGTGCGCTGTGCCCTGCTGCTGCTGCGTCTGTGTCTCCAAGGGCTCTGCCCGTCAGCACAGAGCTCAGCCTCCTCCTGTCCATCAGCCCTGACTGATATATATTTAAGTTATCTCCAGTGTTTGTTTCGGTCTTTCCCTTGCAAATACCGCCAGAATGAGGTGTCGTCTTATCGTATGCTCTAGGGGTACCTTTGAGGACCACCTGTGGGGTGATTCCTAGGAGAGGAATTGCCGGACCAAAGGGTTTTTAAATCCTGATGGATGTTGCCAAATTACCCACCAGAAAGTGTGCCCACCTCACATCCCCACCCCTCTGCGTGCCTCTCTCCCTCTTCTGTGAATAACTAGAATTATCCCACCTCAGTTTCTGCGTCTGATAGTGAACAGTGGTATTTGAGTCGCCTCTTCATTTGCATCTGGTTTGGGGGAGCTTGAACGTTTCTCCTGTGTTCACTGTCCGTCCGCCCGTCTCTCTCTGGACTCTTTGTACCCTTTGCTGTTCTGCTATTGAATTGTCTTCCTCTTGCTTCTTAGTGTGCCCGGTTGAAGGCTTTTCATTGTAAAAGGAGCTCAGTCAGGTCTGAATCTTACAGGACGTGTGAGTGATGGCGCGTACACGCTTGCTGACGATGCTGACGTTACACAGAAGTCAGAGCTCCCGGCTGGCCTGGGCGTCCTGCCGAGCAGAGTAACTGGACTCTGCGGGGAGCTGGCAGCGTGCTAACGTCCCCTGTCCGCTGTCCTGCGTTCTTTTCTCCTGCTTCGCTTGTCCTTCAGCCTCAGAGGATGAACCCTTTTCTTGTGCCGCATTTGTGAATTTGAAAATAGCACTAGTGCTGCTTAAACCGCCTCCTTCCAAGCTGTGGGGCTGCGCTGGGTGAGTCCGTAGTGCTTTTACAAGGCAAGGCTGTGCTGTCTCACAGCCACGTCCCTGATCTAGACTTCCTGCTTTCGCTCCATGATGAAAAAGATTTGCCTTTAGTAGGAATTTGTCCTTAGTGTTTTTAAAAACTACTGTTTCACTACTTGTAGACGTAAAGCTCCCATAAATGCAAGCGCAGTTTCCTTGGTAAAGGAGAGGTCTGTGTTGAGAAGGCTCCACGCTCACTTCACTGTGTGTGAACCACTGTGTGTGGCTCTTCCTCTGTAACGCCTCTGAGTCCATGATGAGAAACGTAATCCTGCATGGTTCCCCAGACCCCACAGAGACATTGATTCTCTGCGTTGTTCTTAGGCTGGAGAATTGGGAAGGGAGAAGGCTATGCCGACCTTGAATACGCCATGATGGTGTCGATGGGAGCGGTCAGCCAGGGGACGCCAGTGGTCACCATCGTCCACGACTGCCAGGTGCTTCCTGGGAACAGGCCAGCAGGGTGTCCGCCTTCACTCCATGCCGTGTCGGGCATGGCGTCGCTCAGCCAGGCTGGATTCGCCTGGTGTGGCAGCTCGGCCTTGCCCATGATGGGTTTGGGGGACATCATACTTCCACCCAGCGGTGCAGCCAACACAGCTGGGGCCGTATCCCTGTCCGCTCCTTCACCCGCTTCTGTTTGACCAGGTTGTCGACATACCTGAAACACTCCTTGAGGATCACGACCTCACCGTGGACTATATTCTCACTCCAACTCGAGTCATCACCACGGGGTGTGAGCGCCCCAAGCCAACAGGAATCGTGTGGTCCAAGGTGGGTCACCGTGCTGTGGAGCGAGGCCCGTGGCTTATAGGCACCTCCTCTTTCCCTGCGTTCTCTGTCTGGCATGGCGGCTGTCCCCAGGCCTGCATGGCTGTGCGTTAGAGTCACCTACGAGTTTCTGAACATTTCTGCTTCTGAATCACGGTCTCCAAGCATGGGCTGGAGCATCTACTTTGCAAACCTGCTGGTTCTGACGAGCAGGCAGGGTTCAAGGTCTCTACACGACACCAGCTCTAGGCAGCGGGAAGTGACCAACTCAACTAGGAGAGCTGATGCCTTGAGTCTGTTTGCCCGCTGGCTTTCACTGCTAAGAGCTGTCTTCTGCCGTCCCAGCTCTGCATGGTCCTAATCATCAGTCTGTCCTTTTGCAAACCCAGATTTTCTTACTGCTGTCTGCATCTCCATGCAGAACCGAATTGGGTAGGAGGCAGTACCCAAAGCCTTCATAAGCTGATGCCGTGGTGACTTGCATCTCCAGAACAGGCAGTGGCATGGACCGCAGAGTGGTCTGCAATTGGAGTTTGACCCCAGAAGCCAACCTGTGGGTTTTGATGCCATCTGCTGGTAAATAGCCAGAATTACTGAGAAAACTGGAGAAGTTGTGCTCTGTTTGCATTGAAACTCCTGGTCAGCTTAGCATGTTTGTCCCTGTTTCACATTCCTTAAACCTGAGTCATCCAGAGCTGGAAGGCCTCCTTCCTGGGGGCCTGGGAGTCAGCAGCATCCACCTCCCCTCTGAGGATGAGCCCTGTGCTCTCACCGCAGCCTGAGGGCTTCCCCACAGATGCCCGCGCTCCTGCCAGGAGAGCCCCTGAGGAGAGCAGAGGGGAGCACATGAGACCCTGAGCTGGGGTGTGGGGCAGTCCACGTGCACCCTGAGCACCGGGGAGAAGGCGCAGCATCCTTCAAGACTATGAAAGCGTCTCTCGGGACAGTTAGAACTTGGGCTTCCCCAGAATTCAGACCCACAGCCTCCCTTTGAATGGCGACTGGCATACAGGCCGTGGGAGCGAGGTGGCTGTGCTCAGAGGTGAGCACGCAGTCTGGGGAGGATACAGCACAGGCGCGGCCACAGCGAGGCTGCAGGTGCCCTGGGGCCAGCACTTCATAGCTGAGGGCCACCTGCAACTCAGGCTGGGAGGATTCTGGGGGCCTCTCCGGGGAGAGAGAGTTGGTTGCCTTGGAGAATAGCCGTGGTTACAGTCTGCAGATTTTAACAAGAAAAATACAAAGAAAGCAACAAATTAGGTTATCTGTTGTGTTAGATGAATATAATCCCTCTGAGATGAAAGGAAACCAAGTTCAACCACAGCTTCCTGAGACGTGTCAGCCTGCTGATCGGGATGTCGGCTTACTCATCCTCTTCCCTCTTCCCGAAGGATGCTCATGCTTAGTGAGGCCTTGGCAAGAGTCCCTAGCTTGTAAAAGGCCATTTCTTACTTTGGGTCCTGTGTTCTCAGTTCTGCAATGCAGAGCGATGGGTCCTGTGAAGGCAAGGACTCTCTCCAGCCCCTGGGGTTTCTGTCTTGGGCTTGCTCTGTGTGCAGCCAGAGTGCGTTTTCATTGACTTTGGGGACAAAGTCCCTAATTCCACTGAAGATTTTTGTTTGTTTGTTTTTGCGGTACGCGGGCCTCTCACTGTTGTGGCCTCTCCCGCCATGGAGCACAGGCTCCAGACGCACAGGCTTAGCGGCCATGGCTCACGGGCCCAGCCGCTCTGCGGCGTGTGGGATCTTCCCGGACCGGGGCACGAACCCGGGTCCCCTGCATCGGCAGGCAGACTCTCAACCACTGCGCCACCAGGGAAGCCCTGCACTGAAGATTTGAGGAGGTGGTGGGGGCAGTTCAGTGCTGGGTTATAGTGCTGTTTCAGGGTGGCTCTTTGTTTGGCACATACCGGTAAATCCTTCTGTGATGCTCTACCCAGAGACTCGTCACGTAGGGATCAGACTCTAGGAATTTGCCTCTTGTCTTTATCATTGGAATATCTGGAATCCCCTTTTTTTCTAAACACTGTAGCCCTCCCAGATGCAATGTTTTGAAATAGGTACCAAATGTGATGCTTTTTTTTTTAACTCATTCTTAATACGCAAAGACTGTACAGCATTTGATTTTCCAGCCTTTGCTCCAGCTTCTCAAGAAATGTGAGTACTGCCCCAGCCAATAGACTGATCTGATATGGACTCTGTTTCCAGCTCCAGTCACTTCAGACAGTGGGTCTCCTCGACCCACCTTCTAAGTCTTGCAAGAGACTAACGTGATTTTTATGGAAGTTGTAGTTCTCATTAGAAATACTTCTGGTGTTTCTGTTTAACTTTGCCAGCAGCTGCTCCAGCACATCCTGGCGTTATAGAATGAGATCATCCCTCCCCAGCACCTTATCTTCTGGTCAAGTGAAGTGAGAACCAGAAAGAAAAGCAATTTATCCCAGAGTGTAGCCTGGCGTGTGGCGGAGGGAGGTCAGAGCCAAGTGTCTTCTTCTTGGGCTGGCAGCAGATGCGTCGAGAGTCAGATTTCTGATTGTATTGGGCTTAGCGAGCATTTCTAGGGGACAGGTTTAATTTAATCTCTAAAGGGAACATATATTTAGAAATGACTGCCGTCTGCATGCTTCAGCAAAAAGGGATCGTAGCGCACAGAAAAAATCAATTTTGCTTTACGCTTGCTTTTTAAATGGTATGGTTAGTTACAGAAGGGCATACATTTTTTTGCTTGATTAACAAGCAAAATCTTCCATTTCACATGGCAAATAGACAGAACCTAACAAATGTTCCTAATTGCCAGCCAGGAAAAATAGCGAGCCGCGGTGTGGGTCCCGTGTGGGTGTCCAGCCCGTCCACTCGGCTCTCAGAAGCTTGTTGGCTGTAGGGCCACCATCAACCTACGCCATCCCGTGAGGAGCACATAGGTGGCAAATGGCTGGGAAAGTGGCAGAGGCCCCCTCATGGTCAGGGAGGTTTGTCCTTTAGAGCTCGCGGGGTGGGAGTGGCGTGGAGAGGGAGCTGACACTGGGCTTTGTTGTTCCAAAGGACATACCGCTCTCAGGACGAGCAGTTTTACGTAAAAGCCTCGCGTTTCTGTTTCTGTTTCCAAAGATGCCTTGGTGTTTGCCAGCGTGGCGGTGCTGTGGGCTCAGTTCACAGTGTGTGCTGGCAGGCTTTCCTTATCCTGCAGCTGATTGCAGTTTGCACGTGCGCCAGCTTGGGATCAGGTAGCTCCCGGGGACGTGCACAGAAGGATGCGTGTTTGCTTCACACACGTTTTAGGGTGGATGTCTGCTGCCTGAGCGTGGAGCCTCACCCCGTGGGTCAGGCTTCATGAGAACACGCACCTCTGCCTGAGGCAGCCCTGTGGGTCCACTGGGCACTTCAGGGGTGCTCATCTGGCCACAGTGGGCCCAGCGGATGCACGGTGTTTCCCAGGAGGTGTGGCCTGGTGGCTCCCGCTGCTGGTGCTTGGACTGGGGTAACGTTTAGTTCTCTCATACAAGGACATAGTCACACTTTTTCTCTGATTGTAATTACAGTTTTAAATTTGATCATTCTTTCTCAATGCTAGATCCAGTAACTTAAGAAGTCCCCAAGAATCTAATTATGACCAGTTTAAGTCTGCTCCTAGGTACTTTGAAAGAATGCAAGAATGTGAACTCCTTACGAAGGCAGATGAGGGACGTGGCAGGGAGTTGGGTTGGCCTGACTCGCATTGTCTTTGGGATTCTTTGGGAACTGGAGCCTCTGGAGGACTGGTCTGTGAGTTTAACCACCTGCAGATGAGTCAGTTCAGGAGATGGCAGAGGGTCAAGTGGAGGAAGATTCCCTTTGATCAGGAAGAGTGGCTCCGTCTTGTGGGTGTCTCCGAGGCATAGACGTGGTTTTTGTTTCTCTCTTTGTATCTGAACAATGGGAAACATGAGAAGGAGGGAGTTTTTCTTTGCACTAAGAGTGTGCTCTGTTCTGAAGACCCGAGTGGTCGGGTGCCCCCGCAAGGCTCCTGACTTGGCTGTGCCGGGGACAAGGGCAGCATCTGGCTGGGGAGAGCTCTGACCCCCAGGCAGGGCTTTGCTGCGGGGGAGAGCATCATCTGCACAGCACTGGGAGAGACGACCAGGACGAAGTTGGTGAGGGTTAGCAGCCTGCAGGTTTGCGAGAAGATACGTGCCGTGCTTAGGTGTTCGTGTTTCTTTAAATCTTATTCTGATCCGTTGATTCTCAACCTGGGACCTGTGTGCCTCTTGCGGATTGTAGGTCCGGGAACAAGTGCTGGGAAATTGTACAGAGACTTGTGGTGGAGCCCTTCTTGGGAGGGAACCCCAGCTTCTCTCCAGGGTCCCTGACACCCTGACAAGGATAAGAACCATTGCCCTAAGTTACATAGGCTTCTGAATATATTGAGAACACTGGTGCTAGTTGAACTATTTTTGTAGAAAAGTTACAGCTGTCTGCCTTGTGTGCTGATCTGTGTTCTGATGGACCCACATCTGTGGGAAGCCCGTGCTTGGACCATTGCTTGCCTCTTGGTGACTGATTTTTTTTTTTTTTTTCCTGCCACGCTGCACAGCTGTGTGGGATCTTAGTTCCCCAACCAGGGATTGAACCCATGCCCTCAGCGGTGGAATCATGGAGTCCTAACCACTGGACTGCCAGGGAATTCCCTTGGTGACTGACCATTTACATGCTTTGTGCCCCAAACAGAAGACAGAAAGCATCTCTAAAGAATGAATTATTGAAAAGAACTAAGCATGGCTTTCTGTTTCATTTCTGCCTTGGGATTCCTTAAGAGACATGAAGCACTTCTGCCCAGGCTCAGCCCCCAGTGCCCCTGCCCCACAGGACGGAGCCGTGGGTGTCCTGTTCAGGCTTCACCTCGAGTATTGGGGCGCTTCTGTCACCGCCATTGCCATGGGTGCTCAGGAAACACTTGCTGATCAATTTGACCAAAAAGCCAAAAGTGTCTTTTGTGTAAAAGTCTTTCTCTTTGAGATGTAACATTGTATGTGGGATTCGTTATTTTGTAGCCTGATCACCCTTTGCTAGAAAGTGTTCTCCATGTAGCATTCTGTTTCACATTCGCCTTGTCTGTGCTTTTTCCCGGAGGTCTGGATGGGTTTGGCCCTTAATTAAGGGGTGCGAGGTGGGGGGTGGGGGGAGGCTGAGAAGGAGATCCCCACGGCCCCATTAAAGACCTCCTCCCACCCAAAGGCGTAGGTTGGGGGGGAGACGGGTGTGGAAGCAGAAACCGCCCCATTATCCTGGGGTCCCCAGGGCGGTTGCCATCTGTGACCCTGTAACCCTCATACCAGTGATCTTAAATCCTCCCCTTTTTTCTTTTAAGATTTTTTTTTTTGATGTGAACTTAAAGTCTTTATTGAATTTGTTACAGTATTGCTTCTCTTTTATGTTTTGGTTTTTTGGTGGTGAGGCATGTCACATCCACACCCCCTGCCTTGGAAGGCCAAGTCCCAACCACTGGGCCGCCGGGGAAGCCCCTAGCTCTTCGCCTTCTGCGCAGGAAGCTGTGGTTGGCTGCCCTCTGGGCCCCCAGGAAGATGGAGAAAGCCGTCCGGTTCCTGCAGCGGCCACGGCCTGTCTGGCAGACGCAGAATGGCAGATGGAGATGGCTGGCCTGAGTGGACGGAGGCTTCCACGAGCATGTGGGGCAGAGGCCCCTGAGTGACTGCTTTCTCCTCCCTTGTCACCAAGTCATGGTCCCTTTTGGACACCTCAAGAATCTGGAACTGCCTTGCTTTTTCAGATCAGCTGTGAGATGATGGGGAAAATGCCAGTCCTCAGAAGCCTGCGCTGCCGAGAGGAGCAGGCCGGGAAGGACGTCACCCTTCGGGGGACACACCGGGGCCTGCCGCGTGCCCGGGCCGCCCTGAGCACCGTCAGAAGCCCGCAGGAGCTGCCCTCGCTGGAATCGGGCTCCTGGCAGGGGGACGATGTGCCTTCCAGCACTGTTTACGTTGGGAACCTCCCCCGGGACGCCCGGGTGAGTGAGCTGAAGCGAGCCCTCAGCGCACGGGGCGCGGCGCCCTCACGGCTCACTTGGCAGGGGCCGCAGCGCGGGGCCTTCCTCCACTACCGGGACCCGGCCGAGGCCTGGCAGGCCATCTCCCGCTTGCAGGGCTTCTGTCTGGGCGCCAACACAGTGAGGGTGGCGCTGGCCAGGCATCAGGGGGCCAGTGGCCCGGCGGGCGGCCGCACTGGAGAGCCGCACCCTGACCCGTGACGACATCCCGCTCCAGCCCCGGCGAGCTTCAGGACCCGGCACAGCGGGATGTGGTGGAGCTGTGCTGCACGAGCTGCCTTGAGTTCAGTCCTCTCCCGGAAGTCAGAGCTTCAGCTGCTGCCTGGTGTCTCCTGAGGAGCAGGGAAGTCAACCGTAATATGCTTCCCATCTTCTGAAGGCAGAAAGGTCCATGTTCAGGCTTTGGCTTATCCTGGGCCTTCAGCCTGCTGGGTGTCTCAGCCCTGCTGGTGTCTTGGTTTAGGGGACCGAGTGGGCAATAAACAAGTTGGAGTGAATGCTGACTGCAGTTTAGGGGAGTCTGTGTTTTGAACTTGAGAGGCGTGGGAGATTAAGAGAAGGTGGACAGAGGACCAGCTGCAGAGGCGTGGCGGCTCAGAACAAGAAGATACCCTTGTGTTCCTGGCTCCTTGGCCTGGCACTGCTAGAAGGGAAAAGATGCGCTCAGCTTGCAGAAGCCAGGTGGTTCAGTCCCCTGGGTACAGACTGCTTGTCACACCTCAGTCCTGGTGTCGGAGATGGAGGCCAATCTGACGTGGACCCTCGGCTGTGTGGTCTCACCTCTGTCCCCTCCTTACCTTTCCAGCCAGGCTCCTCCCCCGGGGTGAACACCTCTGCTCTCGGCCAGCTGCCCCTGAACAGCAGGGAGCCTGTGTCTAGGAAATCCTGGCTGTCAGTGAGTTGTCCCAGCCGACGTCACGGACAAGGCCAGACACATGCTCACACACTCATGTGTCCACTGTCGTATGTTTTCTGTCCCTCCATTTCTCTGTTCCTGGAAATCAAGCTGGATTTTGGCCGAACTGTGCTTTCTAAACGGAAGTGCTTTTGCGGTGATCCTGGGTGAAAAGTCAAGATGAGCATTTAAGTGGAGATTTCATTTTTTTTTTCAAATGTATATGCACGGGGCATTTTTATTTTTCCACCAGAGGGTCTTACTGAGCATGTTTTAAACCCATTATTATGCCTCAAGGGGCGGGCCTTGCCTGCACTTTGAAGATAAGGTTCTCAAGGCTCTCAGTCTCCCTTTGAAAAAGCATTTTCTCATTGGTTTTACAGTGAAAATGCGGTGGAGACTTTGGAAAGAGAATTGATCCTTAGATTTGCTCGGTTAAATGCAGACTCCACATTGACATGAGCAAAACCAGGGGGTAGAATATCTTAACACAGGGCAGTCCAGGCCGTAGGGCCTCTGGGCTCACTCTTTCTCTGCCCAACCCCTGTCCCTTGGCTGGTTTCGTTTTGTCACTTGTGTTCAGCTTGGCCATCCCAGGCTGACTGACCGCCCAGTCCAGAGTAGCGACCTGATATCTGAACTCCTTGCTCCGTTCCGGTTGGTTTTCCCGTTTTTTCCAGAATGCCTCCTGTCTTTGGCATGTTCTTGTTCAGTTTTGGTTGATGTTTCTATCCTTGACTTGCTACCGTTGGAGTAGTGCTACAGGAGGGCAGGAAGTGAGTCTGTCCCTGCCTTTACTCCCCACTGTGCCCCAGCCCCAGCCGTGAGAACCACCTGCTGATACAGAGCAACTCAGGAGCAATGCAAATGGGAAGGGCTCCGTCAGAGCCAAGGGGGAGGCTGGGTCCGGGCCTCAGCCCTGGGGGCCGGTGTCTGGTGAGTCTGGCGCCAGCACCTTAGACTGTTGAGTTGTGCCCATCAGGGATGATCCCTCCGGGTTGAGCCAGAGTGCTGGGTTTTCTGTCACTTTCAGCTGAAATAATCCAGATGTATTGATACACAGATGATCTGAATGCATTCATCATTTTTTTATATTTGTGGACAGTAGGTTAGTATGAGGGAAACTAGGACCAAGGGCCTGAAATATAAGCCCTCCAGATGTGTCACCTGCGCGCCTCCCCTCCATTCGCCTCGGGCAGCCCCAGAGCCGCAGTTCTCAGCGCCGCCAGGAGGGGCCCTCAGGGACCCTGCTTTTCGTTCTCAGAGTTCTTGAGTATTTGTCAGCATCATAATTGTATAGTTCGCATATTAGAAAGTAATGGAAACTGAGCGCTTGACAAGTTGCTGAGACTGTATGAACCCCTTTTAAGTGGATTCGTCACGATTCGTGGGTCGCGTCTTGTGTTTTCCTGAGTGGCGCTGCAGTTTTGCTTGCAGATGCGAGGAGATTCCTGCCACCCTCAACTCTGCATGGCGAGCGCTGGCCCTGGGGCTTCACTGTGTCTGCTGACGGTTCCTATGTTGTCGGCAAGTCATGGAGCCTCTCCGGGCATTGGCGTCCTCATCTTTACAAAGAGAGGGTTGAGCATGTTTGTTTCTAAGGCCTGAACGGTTGTAACGTTCTGTTTCTTTTAAGGCTCACTGCTCACCGTCACTTAGATTTTTTCTGTTTATAAAAGTAAACTTATCCATTCTGGAAATTTGGGGATATCAGAAGTACAAAGAGTGTCACCCCTCACTCCACCACTTAAGCAGCCTTGACACTGCCTCTTTTTTACGTCCAGTCTCTCCTCTGTGCAGTTGTAAAACGTAGCTAGGATTAACAGCATGAGCTTCAGAATCACACAGGTTCGGCCGAGAGCATCAGTGTTGCTGCTGCCTGGTACCTCCTGTCTGAACTTCCACGTGCTCAACTGTGAGTGGGCACAGGGATAGGACCTCCTCTAGGTTTGTTGTTTTGAAGGGTGAATAAAGCAGCTTGGATTTACTTCTAAGTCATACCACACGTAAAAGTAAATTCCAGGCTAATTAAATATCTAAACATAAAAATGAAGGAATTTGGAAATAATAAAAGAATGTTTTCTAATGTTGGGTTAGTAAAGGATGGGCGGGGCCCTGAATTTAAGGAGGAACTTATTCCTGGTCCTCTCCTGGAATGTCAGGGTTTGGTGGGTATGGAATCCAAACGAGCTGTCCAGGATGAGCTGTCTGCGGGATGCTTCTCCAAGCGACGGCATTCACCAGTGTTTTTAAGCATCGAAATTTCTGTGTGTTCTTTTCTAAAATTTGTCACTATGCATAAATGATTTTATTTAGTATTACTTAAGTCGTTTGGGGAATGTTAAGATAAATAAGCTTTACAACATGTGTCTCCTACTTCTAAAATCGGCCTCTGGACTGGGTGACTGTTACAAATGGAAACAGCTGCTCTCAGAAAGTGCAATGGGCTTGTTCAGGGCTCCAGACCCAGGCAGAGGTAAAGCGGGTACTTGGACCCTGGCCTCTGCCCTAGGAACCCTGCCGGCTTCTCTGCATTACGGTTGGCCCTCAACACCTGCGGGTTCTGCACCAACCGTGGGTTCACCCAACTGCAAATACTGAGTCCTGGATGTGGAACCCATGGATGTGGAGGGCCGACTGTATTACACAACTGGATATAAGCGACTTGAGCATCGGCGGATTTTGGTATCTACGGAGGCTCCTGGAAACAGTCCCCCACAGATACCAAGGGTTGACTGTACTTCCTCTACCAGCAGAGGAGCAGGGATAGCGCTGTTCACACCCCACCCTCCCCAACCCAGCCAGCAGCCCCTAAGCGGCCAGGGCGTGTGGGAGCCAGCCCTCCTAGACTCTTAGGGGAGGGGTTCTGTAGGTCTGCCCTCCCATTGTCCTTCGGCCATCATTTGGCCTTCCTGGTTCCCATCCAGCGACGCACACAGACCTCCCCCAGATGCCGCATGAGGAGAAAGAAACACGATGACACAAGACTGCAAATAGAAAAGGCTGAGAATAAAACTACCCAAGAAAAGAGAGCCCGTGTAGCTAAAACCACAAAAGAGTTTATGTTTGGTGAAGAGATATTGGCGAGAAGATAAAATGTCAGATGAGAGCAACATTTAAAAAGAAACAGTAATCGGGTCCAGGGATGGTAAACATGAGGCAAATCCAGCTCTCCGTCCACACCCACACCCACAGCAGACATCAACAATCCATCCCAGCGCCCTTCCTGGCCAAGCCTGAGAAGGCTTTGCCCTGGATTTTAAGGAACTGGGGCCAGACGATCGCTATGAGGTGAAGCTTTCTGCCTTTTTGCCGGAGGAGCAAAACTGAGGATCCTTCCCTTCACCTCGTTTTCCTGGGGAGCATTGCCACCTCTCACCACCTGCCTCCCCCCCATAGGCTCCCAGGAAGCACCTGGCTTGCAGAGGACTCTTCCAAAACTTCACTTCTGCCTCTCACACCCCCTGCACTCAGCAGAAAGAGCTGAATGGGTATTGCTAACCGCACTTCCCCTGTATCTGGATCTAACCCCAACCAATGTTCCAAATACAGTAGATACTGTGGACTCTCTAGTCATTTTCAAAATGGGTTTTTTTAGGGGGTGGGGTGGGGCAGGGCTATCCTGGGGAAGTCTGTCTTCAAGATAAATCTGACACAAAACTCCATACATAAAAGCAGGAAGAAGAGATTGGTGTGTAGGTGAATTTACAGTCACCTCCCACAGTATTCTTTAACGGGCGCTGCCTACCTGAGCCCCCAGCTGTTCTGCAGCTGAGAGTGGGGTGCCGACCTCAGCTGGGTTGGCTTCTGTCTTCTGGTGATAACGGTCTTCTGTCTTCACTCCTGATGGTAATGGCTCAAATTTATTGAGCTGTTTAAAATGCCGTGGAAGTTGTGAAGTGTTGGCCCAAGGTTATTCAACAGCCCCATTGAGCGAAGGGGTCTGTGCAGATCCCCGTGGATCTGGGCCCTAGGGCAGCTGGGTGTACACTGCTGGCTGGCACGCGGAGGCTGAGGACCTGGCAGTTTCCCCCTCATCTTCTTGGGACGCTTGTCCTCAGAGCCTGGTCCCCACGCTGTGAGGAAGCCCGAGTTGCCTGGGCCGGGGCCTAGCAGAGGAGTGCGTACCACCACCTCACCGTCCTCGTGGGTGTGCCACCTTGAAAGTCGGTCCCCAAGCCCAGGTGAGCCGTCTCAGCTGATGCCTCCTGGAGCAGACAAGGGCTGTTTCCACTGCGCCCTGCCCAGATTGCAGTCAGGAGTGAAATGAATCCTTTCTGCTGCTTTAAGTTTAGAGGGTGATTTGTTCTTTATTAATAATCAGTGGCATAATTTCATTTATAACAATGTTACTATGTGAATTATATGATGCACTTATAAATACACATTACTGGAGATACAATTTAGAAATACAAATTATATAGATGTGCAAGTGCATAATTTCATTTATATTATAACAATGTTACTATATGAATTATATGATGCATTTATAAATACACATATATTACTGAAGATACAATTTAGAAATACAAATTATATAGATGCGCAAGTGTGTGATTTCACCTGACCCTCACAGTCACTTCTGAGAGAAGCAGGTAACAGACGGGTAACTGGCCCACAGTCCCCCAGCTTTGGTAGTGAAGCCAGGAGTCGGGTTGTAGCTGATTGTAGACTAGGCCAGAGTTATCTGTCTTCTTTCACTGTGGGTCACCTTCACCTTGCCACCTAAGGTAGAAAGAGGCACACAAAACCGTGTCATTTTCTAGAAGAGAGATGCAGGGTGGGGTGATACCCCCAGGTGCACACATGCTAGTGGCAGAGACACCCCTGGGGCTGGGGCTGCTCAGTTCAGGAGCCTGCAGGAGAGTCTCCAGGCAGGGGGCGGTGGGTTTTGTCCACTCTCCGTTGCATCTGTCCTGCTGCCTTCAGTTCTGATGTGCACGTCACTAGGTAGCTGCCCCTGTTGGAAGCCCTCAGTCTGAGGGTCACCAGGCCAGCTTTCCGTCTGTTGCTTGAAATGGCCCCGTATTTTATTGCACGTGTAGATGAGGCAGCTGAGGCACCGAGTTGTGATGGCTTGTTCCCCGGTGCGTGGCGGAGCCCCTCTTGTCCCCTACCACGCCCTGCCCTGCGAGTCCCACTTGCTTTGCCAGGCCTTGTCGTCATCCTAGGTTTTCACTGGAGACTGCCTGGGCGATCTTTCAAACAAGCAGAGACTTCTGAATAGCGGAACCCACACTCCTGTTCCTCCAGTGGGGCAGGATTTCTTCTTGTGAATGGAATTCTTTATTTCCGACGTCCATAAATCACAAAAGTTATAATGGGAGCTGACATGTGACCATGTAATGTGGACATTTTGCACTTTGGATGTTTTGGAAGCAATAAACTCAGACCCTGAAGTGCTGAGTTGTGAGCAAACTAAACATCCCTGCCTGCCTCGGAGGGTGGATTAACTCACTTAACCCTTAGAAGAATCCCATGAAGCAGGTGTTGTTACGTTCCCATTTTCTAGGTGAGAAAGATGTGGCTCCCAGAGGTTATCTGGCTTGTTCAGGTCACACAGCAGAGCTGACCTTCAGTCCCAGGGCCTCTCCCCACCATCAAGGGAGAAGCCTGTCCGTCGTCATCTCTTGACTACCAACAGGCCTCCAAGGTAGCTGGGAGCCAGGGTGGCCCATGGGGACACCAGAGACAATTGATTTAGTGGTGGAGGCACGTGGTGTTGAAGCCACACCCGCCAGGGTTGGCAGTGGATCCAGCTCCGACGGGCCCTTGCTGCGCCCCCTCAGGTGGAGTGCTTGCCCTCTCGGTTTCTTCACCTGTAAGCCCTTCATCGATTTTCTAATCACTTAATCCTTTGAGAGGAGTTCTCCTACCATCACCGCCATTTTAAAGATGGGGAAGCTGAGGCATAGTGGGGAGGCACCGGCCCGAGCTCACAGTTGGGAAGCAGTGGAGTTGGGACTCAGACTCAGGCTCTCTGACTCCCAGGGTCTCAATCCTGGGCTCATCGCCTGCTTTTCCAGGGTCGGCAGGTCTCCGTGTGTGCAGGGAGACGTCTCCTGGAGCCGACACGCTGTCTCGAGGGGTGGGTTTGAAGCCATGTTTGCTTTCTTCCTTTCACCTTTCTACAGTTTATTTTATTTTAAATAAGCCCTATCATTTGTGTAATTAGGAAAAGACTAAATTCATTTAGTTTAGCTGTCTCCCAAAAAACGCCAGCTGCACCTTAACAAAGGTCAGAGACCCTGAAACATCAGAATCAGGTTTATCTGTGCACAGCCTCTGTCCACGTTCAGGTGAAATCAATTTTCCTCAGTGGGTCCCTGCTGTTATCCCAACAAAAACGGCGAGGTGGACAGCAGGTGGCGCTGTCCCCTCAGAAACAGCCAGGGGCGGAATCCCTGGGACCGTTCAGGTGCTAGGCTGCCTCCTCTCCTAGGGAGGGTCCCCTGCCCCGAGCTCTCTGCCCAGGGAAGGCTTCTGACCATTTGGACAGAGATGGCCCAGCCCTCCCTGCTTCACCCCAAGCTGTGACCCCGCAAAGGTGTTACAGCAGGACCCAGAAACACGGTGTGCTGAACTGTGGGGCTGGCTTTGGTGGAAATTTCCAAATGCAGAAACGTTGTCTCCTTTTCCAGGGGACATCTGCGGGCCCGGCATGCCCCGTGGTTGTGAACCCTGACACAGCAGGGTTCACGGAGCCCGTGCCTCCTCCCTGGTGTGATGCCGTGGTTTTAATGACATAAGCCTGGGGAGGCTTATCACCACCGTTACTCCTCAGACCACTGTCCAGCTGCGGCGTTTCTCCCTGGGCTGCCACCCCACTGACACAGTGAACTGCAGGAAATCAGCCGCAGGGCACAGTCTACACCGGCCCCAGTGCCTCTGTCCGCTCTGGACAGGCTCACCCTTCGGGGTCCCCAGACAGCCCGTGCTGTAGGAGTCGGAGGGGACCTTGGTGGCCACGCCCACACGGGGGTCTTGAACAGCACCAGCCTTCTGCCTCCGCTGGGGGCTTGGGTTGCCTCGGCCTTGGTGACGTTGCCTCTTTAGGGTGTTGACACGACCGACCCCAAGTATCCTGGTGCTGTTGACCCGTGTCAGCAGGGGTGTGTCAGCCGCTGAATCTTGTCTGACCCGATGGCAGAGGGCAGTGGGTACTCAGTGTCCCTGAATGAGTGAATCTGTGCCAGATGCTTCCTCTGTCCTGTGTTTCGTGCGAACGGTATTTTACACTTGCAGAGTCCGTTGTCCCTCTTCCCCTGCCTATCCCCAGAGCACAGAGATCAAGACAGTTAAGGGCCCATGATTTGTCTCGGTCCCACAATAAGTCAGTGCGCCATCGTGAGTGGACGTGGCTTGCCAGCGGGAGATGCTAAACAAGGGCCTCCCTCCTTAAAACAGCCCAGAACTCTGAGCTCTTGGTACCCAGAAGATTCCGGAGGCAGAGCAGGAGGGCGCAGCCACATATGCTGCCCCAGCTGGCCTCTCTTCCTTGAGCTTCATCTTTTGTTTGAGTTTTTCTCTGTTGGACTGAGGGGCCCAAGGAAGTGAAGGGATCTCTCATGGAGGTCCGTGGTGGGAACCTACGAAAACCAGGTCCACTGTCCCAGAGAGGAGGTGAAAGTCAGGGGTCTGAGCTGGGGCTGCTAGGAGGGCCTCGCCCCCCAATCCAGATGCAGGCAGGGGGATCAGAGGGACCCCAGTCCCTTGTGCTGCCCCTGACCATTGCCATCTCCCCGGAAGAGGCAGGAGGCTGGCAGAGGCTGGGTCACGGACCACACTTCAGCTTCCCTCTTTTATCACTAGGCCTCATGGCTGGAGGAAAATGGGTGTCCAGGAGCCATGGGGCACAGTGGTTAGGGACATGGGCTTTGTGGTCAGAAAGTCCTGGGTCTGAGTCCAAATTCCACCTCTTACCAGCAGCGTCTTGATAACGTCCCCTAACCTCTCTGAGCTCATTTCTGAATCTGGAGTCGAGAGCAGTAAGTCGTAGGACCTGCCTGAGAGGGCTGCCGAGAAGGTGGACAGAGGTGGTGTGGAGAGAGGACGGCCGCGTGGCCAGCGCAAGGCGCCTCCTGCACAAACCCGAGCCCCGCGTCTGCTCGCCTGGGCGCCAAGTGCCCCCCATCAGCTGCTGCTTAGGATCACAGCTGGCTGGGCCACTGGGCGGGAGGGGGCAGCAGAGGCCACAATGAGACTCCTTCACCGGGGTTTTCTCAGGAGCTCAGAGAATGCTGGACGAGAGACTCTAAACTTCGCACCCATCAGGACCACCTGGACATCTGCGAGCCTGTGGATTCCCGGGTCCCACCTCCAGAGATTCTAATCCAGTGACTGTCAGCACCTGCCCCTGCCCCCACGTGCAGTGTGAGCAGACACCCCTAGTATTTCTGATGCGGGCAGTTCCTGGGCCGCACTCTGAACCACCCTCAGAAGTGAAGCCCTTGAGCGCAGGGTTAGGAGATCCTGGGGAGGGTCCACATCGGAACCGAACTCCTGACTCAGCCCCACGTTAGAATTCCATCTTTGGAGCCAAGTGGGACGTCTTTCTTCTCCCTGGGAACGG